GACGGATGCACAGACCGAAAAACATAATGCCCCTAGGTGGGGCATAAAAATGCAAAATTTTACTCTGGATACTGTCCAAGTTTCATAACATTCCATGTAGGTTTTTAAATAATTGGACAATTGATGTCTAAAAATAAAAAAAAAAAAATTAACCACAGACTGAATCTAATGATTGACAATGCTGACAATGACAGAATGTAGGATCACTATGTCTGACACTCGTTTCTGCATCAAATTTTGATGTAGGCTCGACAAAAATCAGGCAATATGCATTTCAAGTATATAATGCACATAGCTGTATGATAAGATCTTGTCAATTTGTTATTTAAAGATTTTTAGTAACATTATACATTTATCTCTCTCGTGCAAAGCTCTGATTCCTTGTCCGTATTCCTGGCGATACTTTAGGTCATTTTTGGTTTGATGCGCTCTTCAACATTTGTATTAGATTTTGGATACTCAAATATTTTGGTCTCTAGCAACACTGAACATGCTGAAGAGACATTAATTGTCGAAATGTGAACTGAATACATGTACCATATTGCATGATTTACTACAATGGACATATTATTTCTCAAGGTAATATAAGTGCAGGTTTGGAGTCTTAAGACAATTTAATTTTTGGAGAACCTCAGTTTGGCTTATCTTTTATTCAATTCTAGATTATCACTAGTCATGCTTATTCTTGCCTTTATAAATTATATATATGAAATTGAATTTTACATTAAAATATACTGTGGTTCAGTTTGCCCTATCTAACTTTGTATGGTAATACACAAATATTATCATGATTATGTTTACATCCTATACTGCTGTATATTCCACTCGGCAAATGCCACACTATTTACAGAGTACATTTTTTAGTACATGTACATGTATAATAATCCAGTTTCTCTAATTCTTCGTCAATTTATCCCTTTCTGCACCCATTGTATAAAAAAAATTTAATCAACGTGTGGTTCGTTTGATCTCAGTTCTTCATTGGTTAACATCCGATTATGACGTCGAATTTTCTTGCTTTCTTCTGAATTTCCTATTGTGACGGCATGAAAAAAGGCGACCATGCCTGATGATGTCACATAGAAAGAGCACATCTTTTTGCAGATCATTCGAAAAGAAGGAATAAATTTGCCTGCGTATTGTTTGAAAATCATTAGAGAAACAGATTCCACCACCAAATCTCGTGTAATACGATATTTATCCACTCTCGACAGTTAAATTTTAAATATTTAAAACGCTCGGCGAGCCTCGCATTTTAAATTTGAAAATTTAACTGTCTCGAGTGGATAAATATTGTATCACACTCGATACAGTGGTAGAATCTATATGTATTCAACCTTGTTGAGTTATTGCAAACCCATTAAGTGTTGGCAGGGAGGCAGAGAAGAAGCAAAAGGAAATTAAGTCTACAAAAAATATACAGCATGTAAAGTGAACTCAATCAAGAATGGACATTACAAAAAAACCAACATTTAACAAGAATGGGTATGCTGGGAAAAAAAGTTCTCTTCCTATAAGAAGGTATACACATCGTCATGTACAGTCATGCCGCTGGAATTGAATAGGTCCCTTTTTTGATGTATTGTCAAATTTATCAATATGAAATGCAATTTCATAATGTAAAATGTTAATGGGTCAATAATTTTCTGCATTCGATTAGATATCTGTATATATGCTTGTTTTTATCCTTTTCAATTTAATTTTAAGGCGTAAATAAATGGAGAGGATGTCCCGCTTGCATATAACGTTATAAAGGGGCATAAGTCCAGAAGTTTAAAAGTGATGCCACCCAAATTCGAACTTCATCTGAGTTTTGTGGTAATAAGCATTGTCGTATAAGTTTCATAACATTTGGTTGAGGAAAACTAAAGTTAGAGAACGGAAACCAATTTCAGGACTACGTACCAACAAGGGTAAACCTTAATGCCCCCTCCACTATGGCATGAAAATGTATATACATTTATGTGATCAATGGTGATAACCATGATAACCGAGAAATACTTGAATACATGTAACGTCACAGTACCAAAATTGCACCCATTTAGCAAAAATAGCATTTGAAATCTTACAAGTTTTCTTAGACTAACAATTTTGATTTTAATGATTTGACATCATGCACGTCTTCATGGCTACATATGTATTAGCTACACCTTGAGGGCTATAGATTCTGTGATGAGGAGTACCCAAATTGCATCTATGAATTTGTGCATGGATTCAATTTGGCCTGGGTACTCCTCAGACATTACAGAATCATGGATTATTTGGAGGTTGGTTCAACACCATTTTTCTATTATTCAATATAGATTCAAATTAAAAATGGTTGAACTATATCAGTGTTCTCCCCAGGGCCTTTTACCATCATGGTAATGTGATGCTATATTGCTTGAATGTGATGCTATCTGAGATTAGCATGTTAATTAAAGATTGTGTTATTAGATAAGATGGTATTTTAAAATTCCCTGTTTTCCAGGATGCTATATCAAATTTGTGGGGAGAACACTGACTATATGAAAAAGGAAATATCTACAAAATAAACACAGAATGGAAACCTTTGTCTAGATTATAAATAAACGAAAGTGAAAAAAATGTCGAAATAGGTGTAGTTTGGGTACCCTAACATTATGTTATGATTTTGTCTGTTGTTATAAAATATTTTTATGCGTTTTGATTTTCACAAAACTTCAAAATATGAAAGGGGGTGTTTTTGAAATCCCAGCTGAACGTCTGTACCCAAAATTCTTCTTCTTCTTCTTCCTTTATAGTACAGGCCTCCCATGGGAGTATTATCGTACTGTTTTATGTACATGTTCGATGTGAGAACAAATGTGAGGGTAAGTGCGAATTATCTACAGTGAAAATGGTGCTTCTTTAAAATAACGATAAAAACAAGGTTGTACATATATCGAAGCTGTACCACTTGCACACCCCTTTTGAATGATTCAAGGGTTGTACAGCTTACTAAGTGTTGTGGCAGTCCATTCCAGATTCTGATGGTATCTGGGAAAAACGAGTATCGATATACTTGAGTCCTGGCAAAAGGAACGAGGAATCGTTCTTTGTGTCCTCTTACTGTTGATGTTACTGGCTGTAGATTTGTAGTTGGTATGGCAATCAGTTCGTGCACTACTCTATAAAACATGATGACCTTACATTGAGCTCTCCTTTCCTGTAGCGTCTTCCAGTTTAGTGCCTGTAGCATTGATGTTACGCTACTTGTTCTTCTATAATCATTAAGTACAAATCGTGCGCATCTGCGTTGTATAGCTTCTAATTTGTTTATGTTGTCCTTAGTAGATGGATCCCAGATGGTGCTAGAGTATTCCATGAGTGGTCTTACAAGCGTTTGATAACATAAAGCTTTAGTTTTACTAGGACAGTTTTTGATGTTCCTTTGAAGAAAAGCTGGGGTGGAGTTAGCTTTCTTTGCGATGTTGTCAATGTGTTTGTTCCAACTCAATGTTTTGTGTATGGAGACGCCAAGATATTTCGCAGAGTCAACCTCTTCTAGGATATGGCCGTGGATGTTATAGTTTGCCTTAACTGTTTTTCGCTTTGTTGTTACTCTTAGGAGTTGACATTTATGGGGGTGGAATTCCATCTGCCAGTCTGCCTCCCATTGTTGTAGTCCATCCAGGTCGTTTTGAAGGGTGTTCACATCTGTTTCGTTTCTTATTTGTCGGTAGAGAACGCAGTCGTCTGCGAAAAGTCTAACATTTGAAGATGACACATACTCTGGGAGGTCATTTATAAAAATAAGAAACATCAGCGGGCCAAGCACGCTACCCTGTGGGACTCCAGACTGCACTGGCGAGGTTTCTGACGATTCTCCTTCCAGGAGTACACATTGCTGTCTGTCATCCAGAAAGTTTCTCAGCCATTTTATTGTTGTCCCTCTAATGCCATAATGGTCGATCTTGTACAGTAGATGCTCATGTGGGACTTTGTCAAAGGCCTTTGAAAAGTCTAAGAGAATTAGATCTACTTGCTCTTTATTGTCAATGTTTTTTGCTAGGTCTTGAATTGTGAGAATCAGTTGGGATTCACAGGACCGTTCTTTTCTAAAACCATGTTGAGCATCAGTCAAGATGGAGTGACTTTCTAGGTGTTTGATAATATTGGTACAGATGATATGCTCCAATAGTTTACATAATATTGCAGTTAGCAAGACAGGTCGGTAGTTTGATGCTTGGCTACGATCCCCTTTCTTAAATATTGGTACTACATTCGCATTTTTCCAATCAGATGGTAATGTGCCTTGGTTGACTGAGGCTTGAAAAAAGGTGGTAAGTATTGGTGATATTTCAGGAGCTATTGATTTCAATAATCTTGTAGAGATTTCATCTGGCCCTGATGCTTTATGTATGTTAAGATTTGACAGTAGTTTGTGTATTCCGTTTTCCCAAATAGTGATGTTTTCCATGTGTGGGTACGGGTTGGTTTTCATTTTCTTTATGGTAGTCTTGTCTTCATTGTTGTTAAATACCGAAGAGAACTGATTGTTGAGTATATTTATTTGTTTTTCTAAATTTGAACATGCTAAATTATTTTTATTACGTATCTGTTATTTCAGAGACATATACACACACATGTCTCTGGTTACTTGAAAAGTGTACTATTCAATTGAATACTTGTAAATTATTGTTGTGTCGCGATTATTGATAGTAATTCTCTTTTACTTTTAGTGATTTAGCCTTCTTTCATTCATTCCATTCGTATTTCCCGGCGTAAATTTTACCGCAAAACTAGGTCATACTTATTTTCACTTTTGCACAGTTGTTTGTTATGCGTAATGATCTTTCATAGTTACAACATAATTACCTCATTCAAATGTTATTACTGCATCTTATCTAATCCATATTTATCCTTTTATAATGTTAGAATTATCCCAAATCCTACTTGTCAACTGGAAGGCCATTTTTGTTTACTTTCATATTGGTGTATACACGTACTATTTTTAGAGTGTATTGATTGATCTGTTCTTCATGACGTTTTCAGAAAATATAGTCAGTTTCAAATTAAAGACTTGAGGGTCCACACAGTTGAATAATTTGACAGTTGAGCAACATTTGTTATTAAGGTATTTTGCATACACTGCAAGTTATTTAGCACATATTTCAACTTATTTAAAATTAATTAATAAATGTAATTAATAATATTAGCTTTTAATAAATCTGATTTATTTACTTGAACCAGAGACATATGTCTCTGCTTGAACAGATTTTATTCTCTATTTTACAAAGTTTGGATATTGAAAACAGTTTAAGACTGTGTGAAATTTAGAATTGCTATTTGAAGAATTTATGCAAACTATTTATAGTATTGGCTGGCTTTTTAATAAGTGGCAGCCGTTAAAAAGAACAAAAAAAAGGAAAAAAGAAATACCTGAAAAAATTCCAACAAGCAAACAAAAAACCCAGCTTTAAAAAATATAGATTTAGCAATTGTTTTCTTTTTTGAATCACTAAAAGTTTCAGAACTTAAGACAAAACTCTGAATGTTATCATAATGAGCACTTGAAGAGTTATGAAACTCAAGAGCATATTCTACTCTATAAATTTATTAACATCAAGAGTAACTGAAACTCAAGTTGTATTTTACTCCGTAGATTTATTGAAACTCAAGGTGTATTTTTCTCAAAATATTTATAAAATAGTAAGGGTAGTATGAATAACTGAAATTAAACAAATCAATTCATTCTGGTATTATTGTAAAAATGAATTTTAGACACAGATGATGACCAAATAAAAAAAAAGGGGGGGGGGGGGGGTCCCCAAGAGCTCCAATATGTAGTGTTAATTCCAATTTTAAGGACTTTCCAAGAGAAAAAGAGACACAATTAGTTCCAAATAGTGTATCAGGTGCTAGAGTGGTATCATTCCTGATTGTTAAACTTCAATCATTTATTTAATTACTTTAATTTGAATACTTTATTTTATCTGCAATTCTTGCACAGTATTATTAAAATGTTTGATGCCACAAAGGAAAAGTTATTGTAGTATGACGTAAATAGTTCAAGTGGCGCAGATTCTCGGGTCAAGTGGTGCAGATTCCCAAATAGTGATAAAGTCTATCAACATATGATTGTTATATTGATTTTGTATTATGAAATATCTTATCTTATCTTAGCTTATGAATATAGATTAAACAGATAGATCTAAAGAAACTTTAATTTTCAAAATTATTGTAACATACATTAAGTCCTTGCAATGACATGGTATGAAAGGATGGAAACACGTTTAGTACCGTTTTAGGATTTTAATCAATTTTGAATTTTGTCAATGAGAGAACATGATCATATGAGCCAGGGAAACCATAGGTTGACTGATATTTGTTAATTTCTGTGTCATTTGGTCTCTTGTGGTGAGTTGCCTCATTGGCAATCATACCACATCTTCTTATTTTCATTACAAGAGGCTGTCGAGTGACAGCAAACAAGATTTTCCTGCAGAGGTCAAACCCTGAACAGTTGAGCAAGTATGGACACAACATTTAAGCTTAAAACGGCTCTGAATTTGGATTGTGATTGAATATTTATAATAGATTATTATCTAATTAATAATGAAAATGATATTTGCAAATCTGAACCCCAAACAGGATCATGTAAAAATTAAACATTAACACACACAACAAAAATAAAATACTACATAACAACTGTTCACACTAGGGACTATATTCGTAGACAACAAAAAACCAAAGGACGATAACTGTGTCCTTGGACCTAATAGGATAGAAAGACTTGACCAATTTTAATAAAACTTTGCATGACCTAAGCTTAGGAAATTATAAGATAGTTGGCCAAGTTTCATGGCCATAAGATATATATTATAGAAACTAGGGCCATTTTAATATTGAAATTTGGATGTTTATTTTTGACGTTTAAATCAAATATTTTCAACTGTCAAGATTTTGGCCTAAAAAATTTAAATATTGCAAAAATGTGCTTTTTAAATACTCTTGAATATAATATAATAAGTATTAAAAGCAACAGAACACTCATTTGATTTATCAGATTTATTACAGCTATTCAAAAGTCAAATTTATATGAGCCTGTGCCTGAAAATAGAGATTTTCGAATTAAGGGAAGCCTTACATAAACATGCATTTTTTTCAACCAATTTGAAGTTTTTGAAGTTTTTTAACCATACTTTCATATATATTAAATGTACTTTAAATGTAAAGAAAAGTTACAAAAAGCATACCACATGAGAATAAAATGGTCTTAGGCCAAGTAAGACTGAGAATTTTTTAGAGTCGATTTAGGCCGTAGCCAATATTTACATATAAAAATGCACACAGAGGCTATAAGAAATGGAAATTTGTTACTTTTTGCTCATTTCTATGCTAAGATGTCATGATACAAGAAGTCTAATTGCAAAAGGACTCTTGAATTCAACTTTTTTTTGCAGACAGTATGGTCTGATCGATGACCAGTTTTTCACTTTTCAATGGAAAACTTGCATGTAGTTTTAGTCTCAATTGGCATATATTTGAACCACTTACTATCCTAAAGAAGAAAATTATGGTAGCATATGAAATGAATAGGGTGTACTGATCATTGTAGAGTTTTTTTTTTACAGACTTAGTGAAGTATTTGTGATGGACTACAGATTTTATGTACAAAGCTCTTCACATTTCACATACATCAAACAGGCTGTTTAACCATGGACATAAATACAAATATTCTGCACATTTTTTCTGTGATAATCTACTTTTCTCTAGATTCAGAGTTCACAAATGGTTAATTAAATTTGATTTAAGCATAGAAACACAAATATCAGGAACATAAAAAGCTGTCAGATAGAAAGTCAGCATGGCTCTTAGGCATAAAATGGAAACTGCTTTTAAAAATGCTTATTTTAGCCGTATAATGCCAAAATGGGACATTTTAACAGAACTTCTGTCAAACAAAGATGTAAATCCTTTACTTTTATTGAGTTTGACAAATTGAAACCAGCAAACCATTCAGGAAAGTTGCCAAAGTACAAAATCTACATTTACGGAATTCATCTCTTAGGCCCGAGAACACAGTTATTTCGTAGTGCATTTCTTTTAGACAATCAATTCAAATTAAAAAAATCGCACCTGCTCTATCTCAAAAAGATTTTTACAGTGTAGTGTACTACTGTTGATACAAATAATATCAAAATTATAGAAACTTCTACCAGCTCTAACTCAAAATATTGACAATTCTGTGTTAAGGGGGGGCTAAAATTCAGTTTGACAGCTTCAGACATTCTAATTTTTGACCTTTTTTAACTGGACCAAATCACTACTTAACATAAAGATTCAGCACCCAAATTTTTTTAACATGTAATTTCATCCCCTTACTTAATATTTCATGCATAAAATATCAAGAAATAAATTGGGAAAGTGTATAAAAAAAAAATGCAAGTTATACACTGTTCACACTAGGGACTATATTCGTAGACAGTTTTAGAAAACCAAAGGACGATAACTGTGTCCTTGGACCATTTATAGCTTGCTGTTCGGTGTGAGCCAAGGCTCTGTGTTGAAGGCCGTACTTTGACCTATAATTGTTTACTTTTTGCACATTGTGACTTGGATGGAGAGTTGTCTCATTGGCATGTACTCCCCTACTTTCATGAACTGGAATTATTCATGAATATTCCAGAATATTCAAGGTTACAATGCATGAATATTCATGAATGTTAAATGGCACCTTGAATATACATGAATATTGTATGAACTGAATAACCAAGAATTAACATAAATATTTATCTACAGAATATTTTTGAATGTGAAAAAGGATGTCCATGAGTATTGAATAGTGGAATACTCTAGGATAGCCATTACTGTGAAATAAGATGTCCATGAATATTGAATGATGTACCGGTAATATTCTAGAATAACCATGAATGTGAAATATCCATGAATATTGAATGGTTGGATATTCTAGAATAACCATGAATGTGAAATAATAATAATAAAAAAAATAAAAGCCCCACAAAGACCTTCTGCCCCTCATATTTGTATTCATGGTATTCTAGAATATTCCTACATTCAATATTCAAGAACACATATTTCACCTTCATGGTTATTCTAGAATATTCATGGATATTTCACATTCATGGTTATCCTAGAATATTCATGGATATTTCACATTCATGGTTGTTCAAAAATATTAATGGATATATTCACATTCATGGTTACTCTAGAATATTCATCTAATTTATTTCAAGATTAAAAATATGTATACAGATTTTCCTGTGTGGGGTCTCATTCAGGCCATTGAGAGTGAAGTTAGTTCCAGATGTGATCTCAGCAGGTGGCATATAATAAACCACTCAGTCTATAACTTTGTTATAAAAAGACAAATATTATGGAAGGACTTTGTATGTGTATTAAGTAATTTATAATTGTTAATTTTTATTGTATAGGAGGATGAGGTTGGGCAATAATATTCCCCTATTTGAGGTTCTACAGATTTCATGTTTAAAAAGAAATATTTGATGACACAATTTTTTAGGCATACGAAATGTTTTTAAGATTTTTTTAAAAGAAATACTATCATATCATTATTTATTGATGTCAAAAAGATTGAAAATTGGTAAAAAAGAATAGTCCATTAAAATAAATCATCCTTGTATTAAGGGACTTGTAATGTGTCATCTATAGGGCCTCAAGGAGAAAATAAAGGGAGGGGGGAGAGGCTTGAATTTTTTTTAAAAGGGGACATCTTTCATTTTTAGAAGCAGCAGGTGGGGGAGAGGCATTGAAAAAAGGGCATCTTATTTTTTAAAGCAGCAGTTTGAGGGTGGGGGTCATTGAAAAAATCAAACATAAGTCACATGAAATATTCATGATTTTTTTCATCTAATTATTGAACATATTTCCTCGGCAAAAAAAAAGTCCAAATAAACAACAAAATCCTAGAACAAATTATATTTGTAATTTTTCCTCAGTATTATTTATAATAAGGGGACCTTGTCCCCTATTACAGTAGAAAAATCAATAAAAAAAAAAAAAAATCGTGAAAATTTCCCGAAATTTTCATTGTACTATTGCTCAAAATCGTTAACTTTATTTTTGTAACTTTTTTTAATTCCCGCAGTTGCGCAGAAATCTACTTCCTTCTTCCGGTCTCGTTTGTCATGAGACTTTGAGTGAAATATATATTTATCAGTCCAGTAAAATATAGGAAGGAACACAATAACAATTTCATTTCTAATTATTCTTTGATATGAAAAAACGTTACCTGATGATAGCGTTTCTTTGTTCACATTGAATATGACGTCATAACTAAAATAACGTCACAACTAAAATCCCTAACAACAGAACCAAAATCGGAAACGTTACGGTATTTCCGTTTCTTTTTTAACAGATTTAGAACTTAAAATATGTTTGAATTAAAAAAAAAAATTTATATAGACTTCGTCCCCTTTCACAGGTAATGCCTGCCTCATATTAATGCGGTTGGTCACACATAATTCTAAGTCATTATCATGCAGCTTTATTCATTGCTTATTCATGTTTGTCACACAATCGAGAAATATTTTAATTCCAATTTTCATTCATCATTATTCATCCTTATTCATGTAATATGTATTAGAAAAATTCTGTCCAAACATTCAAGTTTATTCATGATTATTCATGTCCCAAAAAAAGGTTTCTTTTGTCCCCAAATAAATTTTAGAATGAAAGAAACTTCATTATAGTAAGTTTTAGGCATTGAATTCTTTTTGGTTGTCTCCATACAGTTATTAAGAATTCATGTATATTTCAGTTTATTCATGCTTCTTATTCATGAATAACTTTTACACTGGAATAGTACCCATGAATAAAACTGGAATATTCATGAATATTCATGAATATTCTTCCTAATTCATGAATACATGAATATCATGAAAGCAGGGTCATACCACATCTTCTTATCTCTATATAGTAGTAATGCTTTAAAAGTCATTAGTTTGAATAAATCATGTTAGAAAATATGTTTAAACATTTTTACTTAGCCATTGTATTTTAAATCCTTGACCATGGAAAATTAAACCCCCCTCATCAGGAATCAGAATTTGAATCTATACTATCCTTATACAACTATTTATACCCAATTAGTATCTTGAAAGAATAAACAGGGAGGTTCAATTTCCCACTTTGGAAAATTGACACTGGAGTAAATTTTCCATGGGGTTCAAAATACCATATGACATCGGAAACAGCAAGCCTAATTAAGTCTCACCTTTGAACCATAAGTACATCGCTGAGGCAAGATAAATCTTAAACCTCCAACAGGACTGAAGCACAGACCAGATAACAAAATGCCCCCTACTATTGTTATGCATATGCTAAAACTGGTAAAAAATGATTGTTTAAGGTAGATTGGGGCTCTCTGTCATAAAACTTTACTCAGCACTCCGAGTACAGAATTTGTGCTAGTAACACCAAATCCTGGATTTTGATTGGTTGATTTCTGAGTATGAGTACGAATATCGTACTTGAAACTTTTATGACCCCAAGGTCAGGTGTCTTTTTCTGAGCATCCCCTCTGGTTATGTTGCAAAATTACTTTTTGGGTTTAAAAATATTTTACCAAGTATCATTCAATATACAACAAAAACATCTTAAACTTGAAATTTTAGGATTAAACTATCAAAAAACAAAGTTTCCGTGTATTTAAAATTTTCAGAAAAATCCTATTAAAATTAAGGGCAGATAATTATATTGTATTTGATTGGACAATTTGTTCTTTTTTGGATTTTTAAAGAAAATAAGGCATGTGACCCCTGTTTTTTTTATGTTTTGGAAGTATTTACGAAAAGCAATATTCTCATTAAATTTTAACCAATTCTATCATTTAATGTTTCCTCTCATTAAATTTTAACCAATTCTATCATTTAATGTTTCCTCAATGAGGAAAAATTAAGATCCCCTATATAAAATAACTAATTTTAATTTCAATGTTTTTTAAAGAAAAAACAAGAACCGTTACCCCGACTTTTTGTTGTGAAATTTGAAAGTATATTGACTGAGTTGGAAGGTGGTCCATTGTCTGGTATCCTCAAGAGGTTTGTCTTTACAAAAAAACCGTTAGCTCTAATCTGTAACATCCCTAGCTCAATCAGAGTTGATTTACTTATTAAGGGTGGAGAATTGATTTTTCCTTTCACAACAATAAATTTTGTTTCTGTGCTACATGTTTCATTTCTTGCTATAGTTTTAAATTCTCCCTTTATTGGAAATGAATTTTGTAATGTACTCAATTTGATTTTACTCTTTTCTAAAACTGGATTGCCGTATGTTTTTTTCTGAAATTTTACAAATTGATGTTCATCCATCACATTCACATCAGCTCCACTATCAGGTTCCACCTTCACATCTACATCATCAATTCTTACCGTAATGTCTCTTGTTCCTTGTATGGTCTTTATTCTTCGTATATTCCTTATGTGCTTGATAGTTTGTCCAAAATAATCTTCATCTTCTTCATAGTCTGATGTGTCGGTATTTGAATTTATCGGTCGTCCCTCTTTCTGTATCACTCTGCTCAGCTCTTAATAAAATTGCATATCACGGCTTTGTGACGTCAAATACGTTGACCCGGCCTTAATAACTTTGACCCGGACATATCACCAAAGTCATAATATATAAATCTACGTTGATAAGTTTGACCCAAACTTATCACGTAGTCTTCCGGTTGCTTATGAAATAAAGAAAACACTTGTTTCTATCATGCAAAATACGCAAATACAACCCGATAAATCAATTATCTGGTTGTACTTATTTTCATATTGTAAAATATGAGCTGCTCGACACAATATGAAGCCTTTTTGATCTTGTTCGCTGCGCTCACTCGACAAAAAGCTTCATATTGTGACTCGCAGCTGATATTTTACGATATCAATATGCAGACAACCTGATAATCGGTACCTATTTCATATGCCTCTTTTATTGTTTTCTTCACATTTCTTCTGTTTTTATAGTTGACAGATCTATTATGTTGCTGACTATTATATTATACTTGCCCCTTCTTTTCTGCTCTGCACACTGATGCAAAATGATTATACCGTTCACAATTATTACATTGTTTACCATATGCTGGACATTTTCTCTGATCTGTTGCTTTGTATTTTATTTGCTGAACTTATGCTGTAATCACTTTGATCACCTTTCATGTCTTTCATCTGTAAAGATGTATCTTCCATTTGTCCCGCTTCTTCAACAAATTTATCCAGAGTCCAACCTTTGCTTATAGCTCTCTTTATTAATTCCCGGTTGTGTATGGTCTGAATACAATGTTCCAGTATTCTTTCTTCATATGTTGTTTCAAATTCACATTCATGTGCCTTTTCTCTGAGCCTTGCCACATACGTCACTGTATTTTCGTCTCTTTCTGGTTTCATTTGCAAGAATAAATACCTGGCATGATGCTTATTCCTCTTTGGTGAATAATATTTGTTTAATTTATTCTTTAATATTTTATATTCATCTTCTCCTTCTTCATCTCTTAGGCTTCTTTCTAGTCTTGCTATGTCTTTTCCCCCATAAATGATTAGAGCATCCTTTTTATCTTCAGGTTCATTAATCCTAAAATATCTAAATTCTCTCTCTATACTCTCCAGCCATTCTTCCCATTGTTTTCCTGTTGATATTTGATCTTCCGACGTTAAAAATGGTTGTGAACGTAAATTCCTCGTTTCTTTAACTATTGTTAACCTCTGGGGCTCTCCGCGGTCCATAATCTCTGTTTTAGCATAACTTTCTTTGAATTCTTTTTTTTTTTTTAGAGTTATCAGTTCTTTTTTTCTCTGTTCCGTTAATTTTTTTCTTTATTTACGCCGCTTAACTCTGCTAATTTCTTGGATTTTAATCGTCGTCGCCATTGAAAGATCGGAGCAAGACTTGATTATTTGGATGGTATTTTAATAATGACTAAGAAATATACAATTGGTATCGCCGTAGGGACGTAACGTAATAAGTTAATGTCCCGAAGGTTTGTGCATAACGTAAAGATATTTCAGCAACAACAATGAACAACAGTGAAATTGGAATTTCTACACAAAATAAAATTAATCTCTTCTAATTTGACGTACCGGTACTTACTTTCAAAATTATGAATATTTATATAGACCTGGAGTCGGTTTCACAAAAAAAATTACGACTTAAAGATTGATCGTAAGTATACTGAATTGTTCAAGACTTACAACCAATCTTAGTCGTAAGTTTTTTTGTGAAACCGAATCCAGATTATTGTCAGGATAAATTAACAATATTTCCAATGCATTAAATTACATGTAAAAATATGTTGTAGAATGGCTGCTAAAGAAGTAAAAGAAAAGATCCAATTAGCAGGAGAAAGAAAGATCCTTTGTTTAAAGTGCAAAAAGAAAACAAAAAGCTTACAAATGGCTATCATGAAGAATACAGCAACCAAAACAAGAAGAGTTAAAGCTATCTGCGGAATTTGCAAGACAAAAAAATCAATGTTCGTAAATCAAAGATACAAATGAGGACGATGAAGTAGACAGAAGGTCATATTTATTTTTCAAATATATTTAGATCTTAATGTACCCTTTTAATTAAAGACCGTTGTCTTTTTTATTTGTTTCTACTTATTTGTAAGAGTCATCACACGTACAGTAACAAAATAAGTATATTGCCAATGAGACAACTCTCCACCAGAGACCAAATGATGTAGAAGTTATCAACTATAGGTCACTGTACTGCCTTCAACAATGAGCAAAACCCATACCACATAGTAAGCTATAAAAGGCCCAAATAAAGTGGATGTAAGCAATCATAGGCAACGATACGACCTTCAACAATTATGAGATAAACCCATACTGTAAAAGGCCCTGACATGAAAAATGAAAGTCTTGGTTTAATTTTTACAACTTTTCCAGACTCAAAGAAATTCAAACATGATTTAAATTATCGAACACATTGTCTATATATATCCAGCTCTTTGGATGTCTTCATGTTTTTGTTGTCAGTGTGTGTTGTTAGGTTGGCTTGAGCATACCAAAGAAGGTTATGACTGGTTTTCTTCTCAAATCCAACTTTACTGGACACATTTTTTTTCTGTCATTCAGTATAGTACAAGTTAAACTCAGAAAATGGAATCCATATCTAAAGTATGAAGTGATTGTTTTATATAAGTCAATGTTCTTGATACCCCAATTGTTACCTTCATTGCCTTTTGTCACAAAGTTTAAAAAGATTAAAAAATAGATGAAAAAAAAATGTCTAGCTGTGGCTCAATATAAAGATAAGGAGATGAGGTATCATATTGCCAATGTGACAACTATCCACCAAAGTTCAAATAATGTGAATGTTTTTGTTTTTATATCAACAATTGAGAAAAACCCATAGTGGGCTTGAAAAATGCGAAAAAATTAAACGAGAAAAACTAAAGGACTTATTTATAACAACACAATATATGTATAAGAAAAACAAATATGAGAGACATGAACCAACAACAACCACTGGACTACAGGCTCCTGACTTCGGACAGGCACATAAAGAATGTGGCAGGGTTAAACATGTTTGTGAGTGCTCAACCCTCCCCTAACCTGGGGCAGTGGTGTAACAGCACAACATAAGAACAAACTAAAGATCAGTTGTAAGTGGCTATAACTCAAACGATAGGAAGGGGCACAAAAACTACTAACATAAAAACAATAGACACACAGCATCAAAATAAGGGTACTCGTAGTTACTGACAAAATACCATGGCTAGATCAAATTTTCAAAACATCTTTTCAAGCAAGTAAAATACATACCAACTACTTATTGGAGTATAATTACTATGTAAAAGAGTTATAACAGCAGGAATTTTTAAATTTAAAGGTCTATAGTAGGGGGTTCAATATACAATGGCAGGGGGGTCAAAATACCATGGCAAAGTAAAATTTTCAAACTATCTTTTCATGCATGTAAAATACATACAAACTACTTAATGGAGTATAGTTTACTATGTAAAGGAGTTATAGTAGCTAGAATTTTGAAATTGGAGGTGTAAAAGGGGGGGGGGGGTTTCAATGTACCATGGCAGGGGGTCAAAATACCATGGCAAAGTAAAATTTTCAAAATATCTTATCATGCATGTAAAATACATACAAACTACTTATTGGAGTATAATAACTATGTAAAGGAGTCATAACAGCTAGAATTCTTGAAATTAAAGGTCTATAGTAGGGGGTTCAATATACCATGGTATGGGGGTCAAAATACCATGGCAAAGTAAAATAACACCTAGAATTATTGAAATTAAAGGTCTTTAGTAGGGGGTTCAATATACTATGGTAGGGGGGGTCAAAATACCATAGCAAAGTAAAATTTTCAAAATATCTTCCGACAAGCATCATATTTAAACTATATGATAGTCACCCCATGGTAAGGGTTAAAGAAATAAAGGCTTGGAAGCAAATACAATGAAATTTCCAATATAAATAATATTTCCAAGGGGCATAACTCTTTTTAAAATATTTGATAGGCGCTGATTTTCAAATCCTGTCGGAGCCGTTGCTTCTATAAACCTTTGATATAAATTTTATAAAAATCTGGCAAAAATTGTACACATGAGAGTGCTTACAATGGAATTTTCCATAAAATTATTAATTCCAAGGGCATAACTCTTTTGAAAATATTTCATTGGCACTGATTTTCGAACTTTTGTCCAAGAAATTGCTGATATAAGCCTTTGATAAAAATCTGTCATGAATTGTACACATGAGAGCACTAACAATGCAATTTTCCATATAATTAATATTTCCAAAGGGCATTACTCTTTAAAAAAAAATTAATCGGCACTGATTTTCAAACTTGTCCGAGGCATTGGTGATATAAATCTTTGATATAAGTTTCATAAAAATCTGGCAAGAATTGTACACATGAGAGCTCTAACAATAAATTTTCTATATAATTGATATTTCCAAGGGCATAACTCTTTTAAAAATAGTTGATCAGCACTGATTTTTAAAAATTGTCCCAGACAATGCTGATATAAACCTATAATATAAGTTTTAGAAAGATTTGGTAAGAATTGTACATGTGAGATTGCGAAAAAGACTGGACGGAAAGACGGACGGATGGACTGACAGACACCTGCTATTTCTATGATCCGTGCAACATGTTGTGAGCGAGACAAAAATATAAAAATAAAAGAGATGTGGTATGATTGCCAATGAGAAAACAAATCCACCAAAGTTCATATGAAGTGGATGTAAGCAATTATAGGCAACTGTACGACCTTCAACAATGAGAAAAACCCTTATCATATAGTCAGCTATAGGGATAGGCCCAGATATGAAAAATATGAAACAACTAGACATCATTGAGATGGGAGCCATCTCTGTGGGCCCCGCTGTAAATAATAGGTTACTATTTGACTATCAATGATGTTAGTGGTTGAATCTCTTAGAGCAGGTTACATTTGCTATAAAACAGCACACCGGATACACTTTACCCTTAATTTTAGAAATATAATATAAAAGAGAAAAAAAACTTCTTGAAATAGGTTATTTCGCATTACTTGTCAAGCCAGAATTATGCCATTTAAATTGTTGAAACTTTGAAATCATAATGGTTCTCAAGCTCAAGATATAGAGTGCACATGATCTGTACCATAGGACATGGGGTTGTCAACTGAAACCAAAGTTTTTGACCTTGACCTTTGACCTAGGAAGTTGTACTTACATTATGACACACCCTCTGGTGTTGGTTAATATACCTGTCAAGTATAAACTTTGAAATCATAACGATTCTCAAGATATAAAGCGGACACAATATTTACCATAGGACATGGAGGTGTCAACTAAAACCAAAGTTTCTGACCTTGAACTTTGACCTAGGAAGTTGTACAAACATTATGACACACCCTATGGTGTTGGATAATATACATGTCAAGTACAAAGTATGAAATTAAAACGGTTCTCTAGATATAGAGCGGACATAATTTGTTACGGACGGACGGAGGGTCAGACTGATCACTATTTGGCGACCCGCTACTAGACGGGGCCCTAATTAAATTGAGAAAACTAACTGCCTAATTTAAAACATAACAATATACAAAAAAAAACAAATATGACAGACATGAACCAACAACAAAAACTAAACTTAGTAACAGCATGTATTTATATGACATTATTTATCAGGTTAATAAGATCATTCACTTATAGAAAAGAAAAGGAAATTTCTTGTTTTCTAGATATTTTGCAGAATAGGGTTGACTGCTCAAATACTACCACTAGTTTTTAGCTTGAATATTTTCATTTTACTGAATGTTTAAGCACTTACTAATGGATTTTTATTTTCTTTAATCATTCATGAGATGATGTCTATCTGAACTTAATAACATTTTGCATGTATAGTGCACTGTTCAACATAGTTTTCTGGAATGAAAGTTTTCTATTGTGGAATATATGTACAATTACTAGTGTATAATTCAAGAAATTCATAATCCTGAAAATATGCATATTGTCAGGATTCAGAATTTTATAACTATTTGATAATTATGCACTCGCCGCCAGGTAGATCCAGTTAGTAATCATTGGCTGATGTAATAATTAACAGATCAAAAAGTAAAACGGAGTGTTGTCAGATCCTGGTAAGGCAAAGCTTAAACATAGGATCTGTATTTCAATCAGACTGTCAGCTCAATGCACCTTTAATTTTAAATCTAGAAAATTTTCTTTTGTAGAATATAATATACACATACTGATTCCGGTGATTATGGATTTCAAGGGTATAATTTTGCAAGCAACAAATATGTTCAGCAAATTTGAAAATTTTGACTGATAATAGGGCTTTAATCAGAAAAGCAGTATGACTGCCTTTTCTATCGCATTGAAATCTAGGATTGTCAAAGCCCACAGTGAAAATCTCTAGCTTTCAGATTTAAAAGATGGCATTTATATGAATAAAAGACTAAGTCGGGTAATTGGTATTTGTCTGCCAATACAGCATACCACAGACAATTCCTGTAATATTTATACATCAGAAAAGAAAATGTTAGACACCATAAAACAAAAGTGATTGTTGTATGAAGTCATTCGTTCAAGTAGTGTTGCAAATTTTTCAGTCAAATATCACAGAATCTCAAAAAGGTCTATAAACAAAAACAACAACACATAAGTTAACAAAAATATAAAATATTTATATGCAATTCATAAAACCAACTTCTACAAAGGATTGGACTAGCACCTAGATAAGCTCTCATACATTACAAAAAGAATATATACAGAGAGATACTGTGAATTCAGAAAGGATTGCCAGGTTTTTAACTGATGAGTATCACAATAATAAGAACTCACATTCTGATATCTGATACATATATCTGTATGGAGATTTTCCTAAAATCACAATAATTATTGAATCTCCAATTTTTGCCCATTTTTCAAAAATCGCAATAATAAATGCACACAATAATTTCTGAATTTACAGTATTTAGAAAATAATTTCCCACTTTGACCTGCATTCTCTGTGAATAATCACAACCTAGAGTTATTCTCAACTGAATCCCCTTGTGTTTACTGATATCATATGTTCATTGTTGAATAAGCTCAGATAAAACTTTTTTCCATTTTGAATTTCAAGAAAAAAGCAACATATCTAAAGTATGGTATTGTTATAAAAACCCTATACTGTTAATAAAAATTTACCTTGGCAAAAATATCGCTGAACATATATCTTTCTTTGTAAATAACTGTAGTGCTGCCATTCTCAATTGTATCTGACATATACTCAATGGTTTTTCTACAAAAAATTAAACAAATTGTATACTTTTTATTTTATTCTTGGAACTATAGTTTTGATGGATCAAAATTGAACATTTCAAATTGGGCAAGCTCAACTTTGCCTAAGGATCTAAAAAGCGTAATTATACACAAAATCCAATATTTATACAGTTATGTGATACATATATAATACACTATATCCAAGCTGACAAATGTCAATTCTATGTCAAACTAAGCAAGGTTTTGAACAAACACCTCCTTTCAGACATTTCAGAGCTAATTTGAACTTGAGCAAAAGTTTGTCAATCCTTTATGTTTGGAATATATTATGTGGAGCAGCATCTGTTTACCCTTCTGGAGCACCTGAGACAGCCCCCCCCCCCCCCCCTCTCCCCACCCGTTTTCCCAGTTTTTGAAGTGGTTCTTGTTGCTCAGTCTTTGTTTTTCTATGTTGTGTTTTGTGTACTGTTGTTTGTCTGTTTGTCTTTTTCTTTTTTAGCCATGGCATGGTCAGTTATTTTCGACTTGTGAGTTTGAATGTCCCTTTGGTATCTTTCCCCTCTCTTAAGTTGCAAATTCAAAATATGCACAGAAAATAGATTTTTCCCTTAAACACTAGTTTTAACTATTTTGAGCTTAATATTTGACCAACTGACCTCAAATTGACAGATGAGTTTCCAAAAATAAAATGTTAACCTAAGTTAACAACTCTTTAATAAATAGCTTATCTGTTTTGTACTCAAATAGGGAATTTCTGAATGAATGCTAGCTGTGGTTGTCGTTGGTTCATGTCTGTCATATTTGTTTTTTCTGTAAATTGTTTTGTTATAAATTAGGCCGTTAGTTTTCTCAATTGAATTTTTTCATATTTTTCATTTCGGGGCCTTTTATAGACAACTACACGGTATGGGTTTTTCTCATTGTTGATGGCCATACGGTTGCTTATTTGCTTACATCCACTTCATTTGATCTTTGGTGGATAGTTGTCTCATTGGCAATCATACCACATCTCCTTATCTTTATATTAAGAAATATTTCTAACAAAGAACCATAAATATTGTTCAAAATTTGGATAAATAGCATTAATAAAGCAATACAAAAAAAAATGCTAGACTGATGTACAGATGAATGAATACAAAGTCCAATCTGGAAATATACGGTAATAGGAATCAGTCTCTTCATTTTTTCGACATTTTTAACTAGCTATACCTGGATTGGTACAAACAGATCCACATCCACTTTGACAACAGAGTTGATTCCCTTGACAATCTTGAACTGTTTCACATCTTATACTGTCTTGAATGTCAAAACATAAACCTACAGGCATGTTCTCTACTGATGGACAAGAACCACTACTGGTTGTTCCTGGTGCTGAAATACAAAACATAAATCTACAGGCATGTTCTCTACTGATAGACAAGAACCACTACTGGTTGTTACTGGTGCTAAAATACAAAACATAAATCTACAGGCATGTTCTCTACTGATGGACAAGAACCACTTCTGGTTGTTACTGGAAATACAAAACATAAACCTACAGGCCTGTTCTCTACTGATGGACAAGAACCACTTCTGGTTGTTACTGGTGCTGGAATACAAAACATAAACCTACAGGCATGTTCTCTACTGATGAACAAGAACCACTACTGGTTGTTACTGGTGCTGAAATAAAAAAACATAAACCTACAGGCATGTTCTCTACTGATGGACAAGAACCAGTACTGGTGTAACTAGTGCTGAAATACAAAACATAAATCTACAGGCATGTTCTCTACTGATGGACAAGAACCACTACTGGTGGTTACTGGTGCTAAAATACAAAACATAAACCTACAAGCATGTTCTCTTCTGAAGGAAAGGACCTACTAATACCCGTTCTGATGCTGAAATACAAAAACCTAGATATATATCAAATTATTAACAATACTAGACTCCTTAAAACCAAAGAGTAAAGATATCAAAGGACATATCACTCCTTTTCAACTTTAAACAAAAACCAGTAACAAAAGTTTAACAATGAAATAGAAGATTATTTCTAATGCAACATCGTTTGTAACATTCATTTTGATTGGATAACGTCACCAATTTTCATGGTATCAGTTCACAATGGTTGCATATACCTGTTTACTGGCTCTGCTAATGCGTCACCAGTAAACTTAATTTGCGACCATCAAATCACCAATTGATGCCGTCAAAGCTTAAAATACAATACAGTTATCTCCTAACTGTTGACATAGAGATATGTCTTGCCTGTCGACAGAAAATTCAGTAAAAGACAATCTGATGGACAGCAACATTGCTAATTACTTCAAATTCACTATGCCATGACCTAGAGGGAGAGCCTCGAAATAGTCATCAAACTGATATGTACTAATAGTAATGCAACTTTATAAAAAATATCATTGATCTATCACAAGTATTTCCTATCAAACTGAGGCAGAAAACCTCACAATTGTTGACGCCGCTGGAACAGCAGTACCTATAGCTATGTCTTGCCGTCCATGACTTTTGTCACAGGCAACACAAAAATTGTCTTCTAAAAAGGATTGTGTTGCATTTCTATACTTGTTCAGTATGTCATGTATGTTGTAACGAAATCTTTTACATCAGACTGATTAATATGAAAAGTTTTATAATCTGTAATTAACACATAGATTACCATCAATTTATACAATCCAATAAAGGAGTTGTGTGACATTGCCACATCTGTGTCATTTTCTCAAGATTACTTGGATCATCTGTCGTCTGCAAAGTCATGATAAATTGTAATTAAAAGATCATTGTATTTTTGGGTGTTAGAAAATAATGAGTACATGTAATAGTGTAGTCATGGTGCCTAAGAAACATGATATGATACTTTGACACTTTCTCAAGAACACCCACACTGACTTAGATCTAGGACATCATGAATAAACATTCAGAAGCTTAATTATCTGTATATGATGTTCTCAAAGCCATAAAATTTACAGGGGTTAAATTAAGATATGCTATAACTGCTACTTTGGCAAATTAAAACTTTCCTCCTCAAGCGATGATGAAAATTTACTGTTCCTTGATATGTCATCTATAATGTTTATAACAAATTTAACCGAGGAACAATGAGACAAATCACATAAGAAAAAACCATAACTGGCTGCAAATCTCATTTTAATCAAATGAGCATATGTGTGACAGACCTAACACACATCATTCCTGCCAAGTTCTGATAAAACTGACTGGTAGTTGCAGAGAAATAATAATGAATTAGAGTGCACAAATGTCTGAAATTCTATGTTGAAAGTCTAAAAGATAATGGTTTTACTACAAGTATCACATAAACTTTATATTTAGGTCAGATAAATCTTGTAAGACAGACACATTCACCTTACAATTATTCCATACACCAAATATAGTTGACCTATTGCTTATATGGTAATTGTAAAACAGACCAAAACACAAAAACTTAACATTGACCAATGAACCATAAAAATGAGGTAAAGGTCAGATTTTACCTGCCAGACAGACACGTACACCTAACAATCATTCCATACACTAAATATAGTTGACCTACTGCTTATAGTATTTGAAAAACAGAGAAAAAGACAAGGTCTGATGAAACATGCCTGACTAACATGTACCCCTTACAATCATTCCATACACCACATCTGGTTGATCTACTGCTTATAGTATCTGAGAAAGGACATAATCACTTAACTTTAACCTTGATCACTGATCAATATAATGAGGTCAAGTTCAGGTGAACTCAAACTGACAGACATGTAGACGTTGCAAGGAACCTATATACCAAATGGACATATGACAGACAGAAACTTAATAACATAAGGTATTTGCATACAAGGTTATGAAGCATCTAGGTCTTCTACCTACTGAAATATAAAGCTTCGTTTTAAATAGTTTGATCACCACTGCCAGATTGTCAGTCGCTTTGTTTTGAATACTGTGACACCATGTTTTTCAACCAATCAACTTTAACAGAGAATGCTTTGTAGAGTTAAATCCAATCATTTATCTCTATAAATTTTAAAGAATTCGTATTTCAATACAGCATGTTCAGGAGAAAATGGATGTGTAACCAGAAAATATCATTTCAAAATCGGCACACTTACACTTTTCTTGTTAACAAGTAGGATTTAAAGACAGAATTTAAGTTCTTTAATGAAACTTTTTTTAACCCTTCTTATGTATTAACAGAGTACTTTGAAATGGCATATTCAAGAAAAGAAGTAAATTTCTGAAAACAAGGTAACTGACCAATAATGGTCCAGAGAAGGAAAAAGCCTGAAAAACCTGGTGCTAAAATCTACAAAAATATTTACAAGATAAAAAGACTTTTCTTTGGTTACATCTTTTGACATCAGACTCAGACTTCTCTTGAACTGAATTTTAATGTGCGTATTGTTATGCGTTTACTTTGCTACATTGGCTAGAGGTATAGGGGGAGGGTTGAGATCTCATAAACATGTTTAACCCCGCCGCATTTTTGCGCCTGTCCCAAGTCAGGAGCCTCTAGCCTTTGTTAGTCTTGTATTATTTTTAATTTTAGTTTCTTGTGTACAATTTGGAGTTTAGTATGGCGTTCATTATCACTGAACTAGTATATATATTTGTTTAGGGGCCAGCTGAAGGACGCCTCCGGGTGCGGGAATTTCTCGCTGCATTGAAGACCTGTTGGTGACCTTCTGCTGTTGTCTGTTCTATGGTCGGGTTGTTGTCTCTTTGACACATTCCCCATTTCCATTCTCAATTTTATTTCCAAATTAACCAATGTTAGAAAAATTCAAGTTATTAGATTTGCTTTACATGGAACATCAGACATGTCAAAGTCTTATAGGTAATTTAGTTTCTCAATACAAAAAATAATAAGAGCTTTGTTTGACCTACCAGAAATCAATGTAGGTTTTACAGGACAACAATTTCCCATCTTACAAATGTAATTCTTGCTGCAAGTCATATCCGTTTTACTGCAAGCTTTTTTCAAGCCATTTATGTCTGTTTCAGGATTTTTACATGCTTTAATTGGTTCTGGATCTGTCTTTGGTAAATTGTCTGTTTCTACTGTCTTTGGCAATTGTAAGATAGGACAACATAGCATTAGATGTGTGACACAGTTGTGGTCATCACTACATTGATCATTGGTCCAACATGTTTTGGTTTTGGTGCCGTCTGCAGTTTTTTCTGCATTTGTACATCCAATTGTCTCTAAAAAATAAAAGATTTACAAGTTCAATATTATTTTTAAAATGACATTTTCAAAAATATTATCCTCTTACGGTTGTTCTTCCACTTCAATATATTTTTCTGTTTTCAGATTAACTTCTGTTATAATGTTGAATTTTAACATTTAGCTATTACTGTCATATATCTATATTCATCCTAAACATGCATGAAATATTTGCCACTGGATGTAAAGCAAACAACAAAAAATAAATGAATCATTTATTTATAGTCATAGAGTTAACTCCCCTTTTCTCATATCAGTGAATCATTCCATTGCAAACAAATAAAAAGGGCTACATGCATCTTATACAATACAACATGAAAATATGTACAAAATAGCACTAACAACTGAACTTAATTACTGTCAGAACAATTTTGTAATTGGGAAAGCAAATTTTCAGTGAATAAATATTCCACAGTTTAAAATGAAAACTTTTGTATTTAGATCATGAAGCTAGATCAAATATAAGTTCTCAAAACCATAATTTCCCAAATTACCATATATACTTAGTGCCAATGGTATTCCATAAACATTCAGCTACATGTTACTCTATATATTTTTATCACATATTGACATTTTCAGTTCAGAAACATGGGATTCATTTCTTAGGGGTCAAATTCAAAACTCACAAGTTTCATCACACAAGACCAAATGCAAAGGAAAATTGGAAATCAGGATTACTTTTTGATAACTTTTTCTATAGGGGTTCATTTATTGGTGGAAATTTGCCATCCAGGCAGAGCTTAAAATTCAATTTATCATAATTATGGTAAATATGTGTAATTTGTAACGTTAAAATCTGAAAAAAGAAAAAGCTCTGAAAATTAATGGAAACATTCTGAAAGAAGTCTTCAAAACCTTAAAATGATTGGTTGACTTCCAAAAAAGACCTATAATTGCTTACCACTAAATTTGAACTTTGGTGAATAGTTGTCTCATTGGCCATCATACCTCATCTCCTTATTTTTATACTGTCAATTCAATTCTTTATCAAAAGGAAAATACATGCAAGGGCTGGTGTTTCTATTGGCACATTTCTCCTTTTGGCCAACCGCAGTTATTTGTTTCAGACTTTTTATTATCAAAATACCTATTACAAATAAAAGCTGTCAATATTTTGGCAATATAAGAAGTACCAATATTTGATCCTACTGTTAATTTACTATAAAGGGGAGGTCACCAAGGGCTGACCTATTTGTTTTCAGTATTGATGTTGATTTAATAAATACAGATGGCGAATGACACAAACAGTAAATTCAGGTCTTTATTTCTTAATCCTCTTTTATGATGGTACTTATTGTCATTTTAAAATACAGATTACTTTAACTCAATGTTGTGATGGTATTTTCCTTTTAACCTTGTTATGTATTTTAAAATGAGAGATAAATATGCATTAAGCTTATTTCATACAATATCCATGTAAAAACAAAATTCTTCCACCCAGCAACAAGTATCTTGTAAATAAATAACAATGTAAATTGACTGAGAGCTGGGTTTTTTTCCCCTTGTTTTGCCAAGGACAAAGGTAATTGGTGCACTGTATGGAATACACTTTTCCTCTTATGATTTTGATCTACTTCCAATATTTCAAAGGTGGAAAATGGTGCAAAAATGTAATAGTATTCATTTCTACTCATCAGAAATTTTGTCATAAATAACATGAATATACCTATTTTTCTACGTAAATATTCTTTTTTGAAAAGATATATATACCTAATCAAGATCTGAACCGTGCAAATTAAAGCTATGGCACAATTTACAAAATTTTATTGCAATACTGTTTGCTTTTGCTTTTGCTTCTAAAACAGGAATTATGAACTACCTCATTTTCTAAACAAAATTTAGATCAAAAGCTATTTGATTGGATCTACTTCTTCATTGAAAAGATGTAATGAATAAAGGTCTTCATTTTTATACACAATTAAGTGGTTTTCAACAAAGTCAGAACACCTTTTGCTGGTTTTTTTTTTATTGTTGTTAGGTTGAAGTGTCACTGATGTATAATTTATATCTCCTTTTATTTATATCTGCAGAGTCAAGGTAGAAAATCTTATCCTGACACAAGATTGTGTTCCTGTTCAATGCTGCTGATGGACTAATGGTCACTGAGAGTATCAATTGCTCATTAGGGCTGTGCCCACTTTTGGCCTTCAAGGTCCATTTGGTTTTTATACTCTCATTAGCATTTATGTTTTTGGTTTTTCAAACTTTCAGTTTCAAATGTACCTAATGAAGGCTATTTCAGAAACATAATTTGTCTAAATCTGCACTGAAAATCAATATCATTTGGATTTATAAACTGGTTTTCAATAACCCTGAGGAATAGTATTATAAAATTGTAGAATTACCTTTCACAAGCACAGCTTGAATCAAACACAAAACAATAATCTTTTGCATCATTGTCAGTTCAGTTCATTGAATTGCCTGAAAAATATAGAAATCTTGAAGCAATTTTATTCACACTATACAAATAATTGCAAACCATTTTTTTTATATTTTTTTTTCAAATTAAAAGCTAAAAATTTCCATGATAATAGTAGTGGAAACTGTGGATTCATTAATTTTTTTCATGGGTACCAATTTTTGAGGATTGAAGCAAAATTATATAGTCTTGGATACATAATTTCATTGTTTTGCTAAAGTTAGTGTGTCACAATCCTAAGAGAAATTTATACTTCGTTAAATGATTAAATTAGTGATTAATCAATACCCACCAAATCCACAATAAATTGATACCTAAAAAATAATAATGAATCTAAAGAATTTCTTTTTGATCCCTTAATTTCTTTTACTCCCTCAACTAAAAAATTGATACAAAAAAATTCAGCAACACCAAAAGTTTGTTAAGGATGACTTGAAGCTTATCAACAAATGTCAAAGATTTTAAGTGTTTTCACATCTTAAATAGAATTTGATTTCTTCATTCTTCAGATGAGTTCATTTAGGGAATTTGATTATCTTATGGTTAAACATGTGTAGTCCAAACTCAGGTTTAAGGGCAGCTTGGATACCAGATAACAGGCCCTTAATTACCATATATTTTTACTTGAAAATGGATAATACTCATTACTGTCAAGTTGGAAATTTTCCTAAGAGGTTTATTTTCACTAATTTAGAGATTATGACAAAATTGCGAAAATATCCCCTTCTGTAAATTTGATGTTTAAGGAAGATCAGATACCAAAATTGGAAATTGTAAAAATATAAAACCTCAAGAACAGGTTTGACTGTAGAAATTGTGCAAGTTAAATTTAGCAAAAAATAAACTACTTTTAAAGTAAATTACAGCATAATGTTTTCTGACAATGAACAGGCATAATGTAAAACTAATCTTGCATGATAACATAATGTTGTTCAATGAGCTAAATAGATAATAAAATTTATTATTTATAAGATTACTTAATGACGTGTGATCATGTATCAATAGATTAAAAGATCCGATTAGTTGTGGATACTTATAATAGCATTGGTAATATATATAATATTAATCTTATCATTTAGCTGATCACATATTTCATCTCAATTTTTCACTGTTATCTATGAATAATAAAGAATAAAAAAGGCTCATTCCTACCACTCAATATATAGCATGTATTGCTATGTCATTTATCATTTTCCTTGAAATAATCAAGCTGATCATATATTTCCATCTCAATTTTTCACGTTATTATATGAATAAAAAAGAATAAAAAAGGCTCATCCCTACCACTCAATATTTAGAATGTATCGTTATGTCATTTATCATTTTCCTTGAAAAAAACTGAATTTAAAAGCTTTATTTCATTCTACTTTCAAAGAAATATTATTTATTAAAACGTATACCAAAATTTAAAACTTATTTCTCCATCAATCAAACAAGTCAATTTCAGGGGAGATAATTTGAAACAGAAATATATATAATCTAGATCCATGAAATGCAGCAAATAAGAAAGTCATAACACTTACAACTTGCTGAAATGCAGCCAATGGTATTTTAAGAGTAACTGCCAAATGATGTGCCTATCCCAATCCAGAAACCTCATCTGTGGTAATCTTTTGTAAAATATTAATGTATTTTGGGAGTTGGTGTTGATCATGTAGATCTTTGATGGTCTGTGTCAAAGTTTTAAGAGTCTGGTTAATTTAGAGCTTGGCATATGCATAGGCATCAGTCCATGTTGAAGGCTATATGTATAAAATTGACCACTAGAAATCTTTTGAATTTAGTGTTGTTAGGTTGCTGTCTCATTAAGTTATCGACCATCCTCCTTTCAAATACATTAAACTTTCACCGGCAATAACATGTATTAGATACACCTTGAGGGCATTAGCCCGAAAGGGTGTATCTAATTTACACCAAGATATTATGTCAATGCAGAATGATAGTTTTTTCGATAATTGAGGAGGAGGGTCTTTCAGCAATTTGACCATATGTTATTGAAAAGCATGATAAATGCAGGGTATCCATTTTCATTTAACGACACCTTGGATGATAAACCATTTGCATAAAAAATAATAAACAATTTGCCTCTATGTCAAAAAATCTGTAAAATGAGAGATCAGACCAACACAGTTTCAACTATATAACCCAAGTACAGATATGTATGATAATGTTTTGACATTTCTCATAACATATCAGTTACATTCATAACAAAAACTTCAAAGAACTTAACTGTACCAAATTTGCCTACAGCACATGTACATATATATATATTTTAGTGAAATGCATTGAAGTAGATAGGACTTTTTTTATTTTGTAGCTATTTTTTTAGACACCCATTATACAACCAATAATAGATCTTTTAATTGTTAATACCTAGAAAAATCTACTTTTTGCCAAAATTAAAATAATTTGACTACTTTTACTTCGATGCATGATTAGAAATATAATAATCTTACAATAAAAAATCTAATCTGCCATTAAAACTATTGTCATTAACAAATTTTAAACACACATGTTACAGGCCACAAAAGGGCTTTTAGGTGCTTATAAGGCGACTAAAATACGATATATCTTTAATATATTGTGTTCTGTAAAAGAATTTTAGCTAGAAGAAAATTTGTTATTCAAGTTACAGAAAAATTCATACCAATGTTAACGAATCTAATCATAATGTGCAATTCAATTATTTACACAGTTCAAAAAATTTCAAAAAAAAAATTTACACGGTCAAAAACAAAATTTCTTAATTAAAAAAAAACTTATTGTAGGTAATATTAGTTACCTTATATAATTATCAGAGTTCTGTCCTAGAATTTTGATTTCAACTGCTTAAACTATTTTTAAAGCTTGTCTTGCCATGCTTGAAACAACCTAAATAGAAGTGATCACTTGTAAAAGAAAAATTTGTTCACATGTAGATAAAGGGTGAAGATGAATGGCTTCTTCTATAACTTCATCAATGTATGGTGCCTCATTGGCTGAGAGGTCTAAGTAGTTCAACTACTGTACCATAAGCCTGTCAACACTGTTGCGAATCAAATGACTAGTAATGGCTTTTTCCTTGCCAAAAGTTATGGTTCTCTTTGGCTACTTTGATCAATAAAAAATGGCCACTATGAAATATCAAATATTGTTGAAAGTGGCTTTTAAAAAACACAAAACATCAATCAATCGAAATCATCAATGTACTACATGTATTCTAGCTTTACATTGATTCACTAGGCTATCAATAATACAACCTTTATATGATGTTAAGAAGCTACCAAACAATTATCTATTGCAAGAACAAGAGGCTCTGAGAATCATGCAGGTTTTCAAATGACAAAAAAATCAAGTGCAAATATCATACATTTAGTTCCTGATCAATTGGCATAATTATATGTAATAAGACATATAAATTTCTTAACCTGGCCACAGAACCTGTGTATTGAACACATGTACCCCTAAAGCATATATTGACTAATAATCATTAACATGGTCAATCCTTTATCAATTATAAGCTGATTACAAATATGACATTATCTTTGATAAACTTATTTTATTATTCCACAGGTTTCTTTTGAAAATGTCAAAACACTAGTTATTCAATTAAATACTTTAAAATATCAAAGTTACAAATAAATTTACCTCTACATTCAAATAGTTAATAAGTTTAACTATCACTTCAATGAAGAATGCTTTTATAAGTAAAAAAACCCTTAAATGCATTTTTCATAATTTGGTATTAAAGAGCAGAAAAAAATTATATATATACACAAAAATATGTAAACTAAAGATATTTTATACATAGAACTGTTACGTGTAGCATGTTTTTCATGTTAAATGTGTACAGGTATATAAAAATAAGTTTAAGGAGATGTGGTATGATTGCCAATGAGACAACTATCCACCACAGACCAAAAGGACATGCCTATAAATACATGTATAAAGTGTGTCTTCATCTAAATTAATATGTTTTATGACTCCAAATGACAGGATAAAAACAGTTAAATGACAGTGACCCTGAAATGAACATGTAATGAAATTGACATAATTATATATAGCTGCTTATTTACAGCTTACGTCCATGTCAGTTGGACTCCGGTGGATAGTTGTTGTACATCTCCTTATGGCTTATTTTTATATAAAACCTAATTTTAGCTACTTTGGATGGTTTTGCAATTTGATCTGAAATACAAACATTTAAGATTTTTCTACCTTAGGCATATATTGTCATAGCAATATTTAGCACAATTTTTCGGAATTTGTAGTTTTTTAAAGTGCTCAAAAACTTTCTATTAGATTAGGCCTTTCAACTGTTTTGATTCAAGGGCCACTGATGAGACTTGTGTAGACCAAACGTGTGTCTGGCGTACCAAGTTATGAGCCTTGTGACTTTGTCTTTGATGAGTTTTTTCAATGAAAGCTATAATATTTGTAAATAGATATCCTGACTGAATATCAAATACTGTAGATTGAATATTAGTTGCGTTACAGTACTAATTTTTGTGTGGATTGGGTAAACGGACAAAAAGTCACAGGACAGAAAGTCAGAAGTTTGATAGGACAAAAAGTCAAAAATTTGATAGGACAAAAAGTCACAAATAGTTTGTTTATAATTGTTTAGATATATAAGAGAAGTTTTTGAAATAATTTCTTTTTATCACATATATTTATTTTACAGTTAAGAAAATTGTTCATATGTTTTTTTTTAACAATTATTTGATTATAATGGATTTTTAAAATAAATTTTGTTTACAAACTTGGTTTATATATAATAGTTCAAGAAAAATACAAAAATATTTTTAAAAGATCAATGTTTTCTTATTCAAAGAAAAATAGTATCAAAAGTGAATTGTGCCTTTTTGTCCTGTGACTTTTTGTCTGTGACTTTTTGTCCTGTGACTTTCTGTCCTACATTCGTGGATTGTATGGGTAAAGGTTAAATAAAGAAGCAAATATATGATGTATGGGTTAATTGAAAAATCAAGTATCTATATATGTAAACGATTGCTCAGTTTTGTAAAGTATGAAAAAACTAAAACTGCATAATCAAAAGAAGTCTATTATGGAAAAAATGAAGTTATTACCTTGAATTATATAAGCATTGTTAAAATACACCATCTTTCTTCTAATAGAATACACTTTGAGTATTGCATTTTGCTAGTAAAAGGGGTGAAGATACAGCAAAGTCTTTCAGAAGTGGAGTTCAAAATGTCAGAATCACAAATTTATTGTTTTTTTCTTTTATCAAGTATATATATATTTTCAGCCTTGTATACCATCACTGTTGGTGATCCGATGGATAAAATCTGTTGTAGAGTCGTCACTGGTTCAGACGTACTTATAATATAATTATTTCTGCGACTGCATCTTACATTAATTTGTAGGATCCTTTGCAATAGATAATTCAGCTGATCTGTAACAATTCCATCTTCATGCCTTATATATCATAAACTGTTTTACGACACTAGATAAAAACTGATGAGGAAAGGTAACACCCAGCCACCAAAAGCTTTATTTTTATAGAGCCTAGGTGGTCGAGTGGTCTAGCGCGTCGGGCATAGTGCAAGGCGATTTGGTGCCACGATATCTCAGTAGCATGAGTTTGAATCCCGGCCAGGGAAGAACAAAAAATTTACTTCTGCAAATTTACAGATCTAACATTGTTGGGCTGTTGTTTAGACGAATTTTATATATATCAAAAGCACATTTTTTTTGGAAATTTGACATGAAAAGCCATTTCAATATCTCAAGTACACAACCTACATTCATTTTTACATTGCGATGACCGTGAGGTCATTTCGATGTATTGCTGTCGCCTAAATTTCCATTATGCAAATTAGTTTTGGGTTTTCAACCGATCTATAAAAATTATAGATCTGCGGTCATTATCTAGTGTAAAATAACATTACTTATCGCTTGTTTCAAATTCATTTTTTCAATGGATACTCCTAGAAATATTTTTATTAAAACACAAATTAATAATATGAAAATGTGTTGTCGTTAGTTATATATATAAAAGTAAAAAATCACGTACCGAAAAATTGTGTTAAAGCTTACGGAAGAATATCTCAAGAACGTTTTGCGACACTCCCGGCAAGGACCGATAACTCTGTTATTGTTTTGCGGGAAAATATGAATGACTTCTCATATCCAATCTTTTAGAAAAATCGATTTTTTTTTTACAGAAGAGTGTCCACTATGCACTTGTACTGCACTATAATTAGAATAGTAGAATAGAATGATATACAAATATATGAAAATTATATATACATGCAACCGTAATATTAATATAATATATAACAACAAACCAGTGTATATTAGTATAATAGTCCCAGGTATACTGATTTGTATCACTACAATATAATAGTTATTACGGTGCGGTTGAATTTCCTGTCATTTATTCATCATCCATGCACGAACTTGTATCAGAAAAAAATATATCTCTGTAAATTAACCTCAGTTTCAGGTATGGAGATGTGATCTATTTCTGTGACATGTGCTTTTGACCATCCACAAGAACCTGCGGTCATCCGATGTTCAGTACTTCAGTACTTTGATTTGGAATATAATAAGACCATAATATGAAATAAAATCCAAAAAAAACAGAAGGTCCAAAAAGATGATAAGACTTGTTTGGTTAAATGGAAATTTAAATTGCTGGTTCAAACAAACTGTTGCATGGAGAGAGAGAATTATTTAACAACAGGGACTAGACCATGATATAGTGCTTTCAGAAAAGATATTTGTTTTCAAATTTCACATTATTTCACATTTCAAAACATTTATAATTGACTAAGCATAAATATAGAATGGTAATTAAGTATATAAAACCTTTAGCTAACAAAATGTTACATACATATGTCATACATGTTACTATAAGGTCAAACATATATATGTCTACCAATTGTCTACCTACAATTTACAAACTGCTGACCACAAACATAACAGTGCATTTTACATAAATCAAATTATGTTTCTATCGCTGCATCCAATTGTATTTGTTAAAGTACATCTTCACTCTTTGACTGATTTAATAATAAATCAAATTATCTTAAAGGTTTACTTACTTGAAATAAGTATTTTTATGTTTTTTGTCCAATGGGAATATATATTTATTCCTATATATATCAACTTTTATCATCAACCAAATAAAAGCTGCAGACGACAGGTAACAGAAACAATAAACGAAACATAAATTTTTTACCTGTCAATAACTTTATGACTCTAATCCTTCAGCCATTCAGGTAAACAGAATATTTATGAAAACTGTCATCAAGGATTTCCTCTATTTGGTCACTGTGGTCATGCATGGTTGGTTTCAACATCCAAATAACCATCACCTGCACCTACACATTAAAAGATTAAGTTATAGGCAATTTTACCTGAAAGTGCTGATAAGGTGTCAATAAAAATTTGCATACTCCCAGGCTATATAATATATCATCAATAATGATCATTATCACGTTTGTTTACAGAAACAATATATCTCATGTTTAAAAATGATTGTATTCTTTTTTTTTTATAAATTCTGAATAATTTACTTTGATTGAATTTTAATATAAAAAGAAGATGTGGTATGATTGCCAATGAGACAACTCTCCACAAGAGACCAAATGACACAGAAATTAACAACTAAGTTTACATGTCTATTATATTTTCTGCAAATTTATTATCATTATTGTTGCAATTGTAAAAGTATAGTATTTTAAATTAAACCAAAATTTAAAAACTATTTTTTGAAATATTCAAATCCCTTAACTATTGAGTAAGAAAAAATTACAGGTATCAATTTTGAAAAACCCAGGACAGGTGAAACCCCAAAGAACTCTATATCAAAAATTTCTAGAAATTATTTGCTCATATTGCTATATATATATATATATATTAGGTAGCAAGGTCACTGAAACAAGGTTATGGTAGTACATTTCAATGTTTACAAGAATAAGTACTATTTCTAACATGACTAATGAATTGATACAAGTCGCAACAAAATAAGAGATCTGTTTCCTGTCAGTAGACTTAGGTAGACTACTACTAAACTACTGATGGGCTTCCAGTGGTACTTGGAGTTATTATGCTTATGGCATAATAGGACAATAAAATAAAAGTACAAATTTTACTGTCTAGTAGATGTTTAGTATACAAGCAGTAAGAATTTGAAATACCTGACAAACTAGCATAAAAAAAATCTAACTTAAAAGTCAAATTTAAGCAAGATTACAAAATCTTGAAATTTTGTCCTTACTCTTAAAACTCTATCAAATTATGTTTATTGTACTCAAATACATGTACCAGGGCTCTTGGTCATAAAACTTTACTCAGTACTCGGGAGTACAATATTTCACAGTGCTCGAAATGACAAATCCAGGATTTTGATTGGTTGATTTCTAAGTCTGAGTAAGTTATTTGTACTCAAAATTTTTATGACCGCAAGACCAGGTCTAGGTTTGAGTATGATCCTGAAATTTAAATCCCTAGCAATATATCTTGGAAAAAACAAGAAAGCCACTTCAAGTAATAACATGATAAATAGTCTTTACTAGGGTAGTTTTAAGAAAAAGCTTCATTCACCCAATTCTACATCATTTGGTCTCTGAGGGAGAGTTGTTTTATTGGCAATCATATCACATCTTATTTTTCCATTTACCCAATTCACTGATTATATCCTCTATTGATTCATGTCAGATTGTTTTCAATGAAATCATTAGTGCCATTGAACTTAAACTGACCATATTACAATGCACATGTAAGAATAAATCATGGACTTAATTATCAAGAGGGCCACTTATATGATTAATCTGGTTTTCATTGAAAAATGTGTTAAAATTGTAAACAAAATCAAATTAATCCATCAAGACAAAAGACAAAGAGATTGATAAAAAAACAGAATTTCATAAAAATCAAGGATTTATTTGACAAAATTTTTGTAAATAGGCTATCTGATACATTTAAACCTTATGTGTACTTACTCATTTTGTCACAACTGTTCAAAAGCTTTTTTTATTGCAAACCCAATGAAAGTTTTCCACAGTGCCATCTCTATCTGGTCAAGGTATTAAACTTTTGTAAGCTCACTTGTAAAATCAAATAACAAAATTGCTACTCTGTAGGAAATTGTTCTCAGCTGCTTATATAATACAAATATAGTCTCATGTCAATGACTGCAGAAAGATGGTGAGAGAACTACTGTATATTATGGTAAAACAGTGTCAGGCTAAAGACAGCTCATTAACATCTAATAAAGATGACGGTCTACTAATCGTTTCAAAGCATATATTTATATCATCTGCTGTAAATTCAGAAATTATTGTGAGGATTTTATCAATGCGAATAATGCGACTGAATGAGTATCACAATAATTAAAGAACTTGTTTCTTATATCTAATATCTAATACATATAACTGGATGCGGATTTTCCTGCAATCGCAATAATAAATCTCGCATTTTAGTCCATTCTACAAAATTCACAATAATAAATGCATGCAATAATTTCTGAATTTACATTAATCAAAAAAGTAAAAGATTACACTTCAGATGGAAGCTTGTATTGCTGGATTATAGTGGCCCTCTTTATGATTCAATTACTCCCAAAATGATGATTTATTATCCCACAAGCTTTTAAATGACAACTGGTTGATTCTACTCACAACAAACTAGTAACTAAAAAACTAAATGACTAATCTTCATAATTCTAAATGTTGCAGCTCTGAATATATCTAAATCAGTCATTGTCTATGGTACAAGCTAATCTAGAATATTATTCAAGTAATTTGGGACACGAATACTAAATAACACAAACAAGTGAATCTGTGAGCTACTGTTAACTAATGATACCACCTGCCCCCTAAAAGTATAAGGTAAACAGGAAGTTGTTGAGTGATGAATCCGAAAACGCATCACACTGTACAGCTGACTCATATAAACCCTGAAACCAAATTTCAGAAATCCTTGTAATGTAGTTCCTGAGAAAGATGCGACGAAAAATATTCATGGGAAGGACAGACGGACTGACGGATGGACTGACAGATGGACTGACGGATGGAATGATGAATGGATGGACGGACGGACAGACAGACAGACAGAGGTAAAACAGTATACCCCACTTTTTTAAAGCGGGGGTATAAAAATATCATTGAAAAGAAATATAGAAGGGCTGCAATGCTATGTCACTATCAGATACAAGGGCATACAATACTTACAGGTCTGATGGCACAGTGATTTTTGACGAAAATTTGCATACAAGCTATTTTTCCCCTAGTCCATTCCAATATGTTGTACAAAATATATCTTCATTTGCTATTTTTAGAGGTAAAGATGTCAAATTTTAGACATTTACTCAAAATTTCAGTTCTTGGACTTTTCTATCTTTTTGGACAGACATTTTAAACAAACTATTTTGTTTCAAAAGATAAACACAGGCAGATTTTTATAAAAACATTTGAAATATATTCTCAGCATAAGGATGCCCTCAATTTGTGAAAAAATTCTTTGAAAATAATTAAAATTTCACAGGTTTAATGATTTTTGAAAAAAAAACAGCCATTTTTGCTGTATATTTATCTAATTATAAAAAATTCTTCATTGATTTGTTCATAACAACTGGTACAAATAATCTTCATACACAACCAAGTCAAATGTCATTTAAAACATGAGGCTCCTAAGAGCCTGAATGGTTCACCTGTAATTTTTGTGTTGAAACTTGCATCAATGATTATTTTGCTGTTTATAGTATTAAATAATGGGTGTTTAAACATGCTTTTAAAAGATTCTCTCTATCTATCATAATTCCTGTGAAAAATTAAAAAAATCGGTAAAAATCATCTTTCAAGGGCAATAACTCCTAAAAGGAATCAATTGACAATTTCGTTCATGTTGACTTATTTGTAGGTCTTAACTCTACTGAACATTTTGCTGATTGAAGTTTCTGTCTATCATTCATAGTTTCTGAAGAAACAAGAATGTGTCCATAGTACATGAATGCCCACTTGCACTATCATTTTCTATGTTCAGTGGACCGTGAAATTGGGGTCAAAACTCTAATTTGGCATTAAAATTAGAAAGATCATATCATAGGGAACATGTGTACTAAGTTTCAAGTTGATTGGACTTCAACTTCATCAAAAACTACCTTGACCAAAAACTTTAACCGGAAGCAGGACAGACAGATGGACGGACCGACGGATAAACGAACAGACGCACAGAATGAAAAACATAATGCCCCTAGTTGGGACATAAAAAAAAAAAATTTTCAATAAAAATACTCTTTCAAGGGCAATTACACCTATAAAGAACCAATTGACTTGTTTGTAGATCTTACTTTGCTGAACATTTTTGCAGTTTAAAATTTCTCTTTATCTATAATAGTTTTCAAGATAACCAAAAAAATTAGAATTTTATAAAAAATATTATTTCAGGGGCAATTACTCTAAATTGGGTTGTCCGATTCATCTGAAAATTTCCTCACTTGTAGCTCTTGACCTGTTGATTAGTTTTACCCCATCAGTTTTGCTCTTACAACTCTAGTTTAAGAGATATAAGCCAAAAAACAGCATTTTATCCCTATGTTCTATTTTTAGCCATGTTTGTTGACTGACATGAATAAAAAACATAAACTTTATACTAGATACCATAAAGATCATTCACCTCAACTTTGGTAGAAATTTACTCCCTGTTAGTCCAAATAATTATGACATCTTAAAAGGCTACAAAGGCATCACAGCAAAAAATTAAAATAGCCTTTCAAGACGTCCTAATCATTTTGTGTGACTCACTGTATACCCGCAGGGTCTGAAAAAAAAGCAGAAGGGTTGGTCCTGAACCTCCAATACCAGATTGAAAGGAGAACAACAACAGTGAAGTAAAAGTGGAGATAAAACCCGTTTTATAAGGTGGCTATGACAGAAGAGGAATGGCCTACATATAGGCAATTTATAATTAAAGATTGTCTCACCCTCAGGCTCAAAAGATGTCACAAGGATATAGTTCTTCCAGAATTTTTGACTAAGTTTTAATTTATGGTTAATGTGAATTGACTTGTGACTGTATATATGTTTTTGATATTTCAATTTTGGAACAGCAGTTAGCTAAATGCTCCTGGAAGAATCTCTATGATTAGCCTTACTGACTTTTTTAAAGTGTAGTTTTGAGAAAATCTAACTATTAATAGAGTTATATCGTTTGAAACTATAAATTATGTACCCTTGTTAACGTGTGATAAGTCTGTCACATGTAAATAGGAAATTATTCACAGCCGAATAAATTTCGAAAGACATACATAAAAATAGAACAGTGATCATACAAGAGAGACTTTGTCTAGTATTATTCCCTGTCTAGTTAAGAACATATGTTTAGTCATGATAGGTTTTAAGTTCTGGTTGTGTGTGGAGGGGGGGGGGGGGGGGGGGGATGTGGTGAAATTGATCACCTACCCAGGGATTTCTTAAAGCTATGTTTAGACGGTGCCTTCCCAACCTCTGTGTTTGGAAATGAAGCCATGTGTTTGTTTGCAGGACCCTGGTCAGCTATTCCATTTGCAAGTGGAACATGGCATACATATATATAGTATGCAAATTATAATATAATATAAATGCGGTCTCACTAATTAGCAACAAAAAGAATTTTAGCAACAAAAAGCGACAAGAAGCATCAAGAAGCGACAAGAAGAAAAAAATTAACGACAAGAAGAAACTAGAGGCTCTAAAGAGCCTTTGTCGCTAACCTTGGTATATGTGCATATTAAACAAAGGACACAGATGGATTCATGACAAAATTGTGTTTTGGTGATGGTGATGTGTTTGTAGATCTTACTTTACTGAACATTCTTGCTGCTTACAATTATCTCTATCTATAATGAACTTGGCCCAGTAGTTACAGTCGAAAATATTTTGTAAAAATTTACAAAAATTTACAAAATTTATAAAAATTGTAAAAAATTGACTAATAAGGGCAATAACTCCTTAAGGGGTCAATTGACAATTTTGGTCATTTGACTTATTTGTAGATCTTACTTTGCTGTACATTATTGCTGTTTACAGTTTATCTCTATCTATAATAATATTCAAGATAATAACCAAAAGCTGCAAAATTTTCTTAAAATTACCAATTCAGGGGCAGCAACCCAACAACGTGTTGCCTGATTGGTCTGAAAATTTCAGGGCAGATAGATCTTGACCTAATGAACAATTTTATCCCGTCAAATTTGCTCTAAATGCTTTGGTTTCAGAGATATGAGCCAAAAACTGCATTTTACCCTATGTACTATTTTTTAGCCATGTCGGCCATTTTGGTTCGCGGGCGGGGTCATCAGACACATTTTTGTCGAGCCTTCGACTTTAGTCGAAAAAGCGAGACATAGCGATCCTACATTCCGTCGGCGTCGTCGTCGTCGTTGGCGGCGTCCACAAATATTCACTCTGTGGTTAAAGTTTTTGAAATTTTAATAACTTTCTTAAACTATCCTGGATTTCTACCAAACTTGGACAGAAGCTTGTTTATGATCATAAGATAGTATCCAGAAGTAAATTTTGTAAAAATAAAATTCCATTTTTTCCGTATTTTACTTATAAATGGACTTAGTTTTTCTGCCGGGAAATATTACATTCACTCTGTGGTTAAAGTTTTTAAAATTTAAATAACTTTCTTAAACTATCCTGGGTTTCTACCATACTTGGACAGAAGCTTGTTTATGATCATAAGATAGTATCCAGAAGTAAATTTTGTAAAAAAAAAAAATCATTTTTTCCTTATTTTACTTTTAAATGGACTTATATTTTCTGCCAGGAAACAACACATTCACTCTGTGGTTAAAGTTTTTAAAATTTTAATAACTTTCTTATACTATTTTGGATTTGTACCAAACTTGAACAGAAGCTTGTTTATGATCAAAAGCTAGTATCTAGAAGGAAATTTTGTAAAAAAATAAATCCATTTTTTCCGTATTTTACTTTTAAATGGACTTAGATTTTCTGCCAGGAAACAACACATTCACTCTGTGGTTAAAGTTTTTAAAATTTTAATAACTTTCTTATACTATTTTGGATTTGTACCAAACTTGGACAGAAGCTTCTTACAATCAAAAGATAGTATCAAGAGGAATATTTTTATTGATTTACTCCTCATTTTTGTTGAGCCTGCGATTAACAGAAAAAGTAGGCGAGACACTGGGTTCCGCGGAACCCTTACG